TGTGTACAGAGCTTTAGATAAAAATAATAAACTATGAACAAATATTATATATAATGTAATTCTCTTTGTTAATAATATCATCTGGGAAATGATATTAAGAAACACCTCACACATAACCACACTGTTTACACGCAATTTGAAGCACAGGGCCGTCCTATTTACTCAGCTTACCGATAATTTTGGTTTTTAATCAGAATATCCAATTTAATGTGATTAATGAACTGTGTAGAGTCTTGTATTTCTAATTGCCTAGAACGATGCATTGTATGTTTCCACCATCTGAAAGCATGAATCGTAATGTGTTGCCGGCTTTTGATAATTATACTGGAAGCTACAAATAATTATCACTGTCATTTACAGCTAGGTCCTATTTTGCAACCTAAATATGTTGAACTCATTCTTGAGGCATAGGTAGTAATTTGAAGGTGTAATAAATTTGTATAAATCTGCTCGATAGGTTAGATATTGTCCCAAAAGACTATGATGAGGCATTTTGGAAAATGCTTCAGTATGTTGTGTCTGCTACTGTGGGTCAAATATACACATCCAGTCTCTATACACGTTCGCTTACCATTAGCCGACTTCTTAATTTCTCTTATTCTGGGGAATTGACACTTAACTTACTTGACTTCCAGGAGAAAACGGAATGCATTAAGAATGTTTAATAAGACATATTTCCAGACAATATTTAAGAAGCTTTCATTGGCTATCTACACATAACAGTAACTCTGGTACAAATAGAGAGTAATTAAACTGATGTCAACGATGCAAAATTTTGTAAAAGAATTACATCATTATGTTACATTATCCATAGTTAAAAAAAATTCCACATTGCATTTACATTTTATTAGGTCATCTGACAACTAACTACTACAAAGAATGCTCCTAAAAAGATGAGTAATTGAATTTTCTCTTTTATTTACAGGATAAATCTCTGATCTGGAAAATCGTCTGGAACCATTTAAATCTACCCAAAATGCTAGGGTATTATCAATGGATTTGAATGCTAGTTCTTGAGCGATTCATCAAAACGGTAATCACGATTTTTAAACAAATATCATTACTGATATTTGGAAAAGCTGAACTGTTCAAACCCGTGGGAGAGCGTCAGCTGATGATTCAACAAGACAAATTACAAATCGCACAAAACCAACACATGAAAATGATTTGCGAGTTGAAATCCATATCTAACACCTGTTGGAATATGAAAAAGTAATTAATAAATATTTACCTGTTATTGAACAAAACAAATTAAATACTATTTAGAGGCCTGACATATCAAGATACTTGATTCATTGTGTTATTATTACAACAAAATACAATCAATGTCAACTGATCCACAACTGCTGAGATTACAGAGTTACAGATTTACTTTGTGAAAAGGCTCAAGATGGCGCATATCTTCAGCAATATCGTTCAGATAATATTTTTAATTGAAATGTTGGCCCTTGGAAATTCTCTTGATTTCCAAATTACACCCCAGAACATAACTACGCTTAAAGGTAATGTAGCACAATTTATGTGTATTCTTACAGGGCTTGAAGACAATCACGTAGTAAGATGGTATCGTAATAATGAACAAATTTCAGAAGGACCCAGCGTTTTCCCACAATATGCATCATCAATGAGAATAGACACGGACTTAGAACTTTTTCACTATAACCTTGTCATACCTTCCGTCAGTAGAGATGATAATGCTACAAACTATCACTGTTCCGTTTACGAAGGAAGTCAGCGAAGGCTCATATCTACAGATACAGCAATTTTAATCGTGCAAGAAATACCTAACCTAGAATACTACCCGAATTGTAAACGAAGTGACAAAACATTTCACGAAAACAGAAATGCTAATTTGGTTTGCATGTCGGAAAAAGGTTACCCTGTAGTGAAATTAAAATGGTACTATAACGGGCGCGAGTTGGACCAGCATGTAGAGTACAGCGATATGGTGACAGCTACAACTAGAGTGGCGATTAGCAAAGAGCATAAAGAGGCATCTTTTGTATGTTCGCTAACAACGGAAGTTGATATCAATCTGAGTAAAAACTGCACCATTGGACCGATTCCTGTGCTATACAAACCGACAACCGAAATCCAAGGTCAGGATATATTATATGAAGGAACTGATGGTGTTTATGTATGCTACTCAGATGCAAGCCCAGAGGTAAAAGACTATACATGGGATTTACCAAAACATCTACCACCCGATAAATACGAGTATGAGAACAACAGACAAGTATTAAGATTAATTGGACTTACTAAAAATGATAACGGTACAATCATAAAATGCTCCACGAGTAATTCAGAAGGGAAAGATGTTGGTAAATTTATCATAAGAGTAAGTGGACAAGAATCAATATCTGAAGTTAATGGCCTTCCAACCGGGTCAAGTAGTGTTGATCCAAATAAGAAAACCAGTTCAACAGCAGCGATGCTTTCAGTTGTCGGTGGATGTTTGCTTTTCCTGGCTTCGATAATGGCATTTTTACTTTGTAGTATCATACTCTACACAAGGCGACAAGCTGGAATTTACGCGGGTAATCATGTCCCACAACCTGATGTTTATTACGTACCAAAAGATAGCATTGACGCCACCTCCGGTAGCACATATCAAACGGGAAAATGGAAACGATCAATTGCAACTCAAGTACCTAATGATTTGGAACTGGAATCCATAACATACGCAGAAATTGAAGAGGGTAAGAAGTTAATCAACAGCTACCGTACGCTTAAAAGCACAAATATAAAAGAAGAAGCTAAGTAACTGTTGAATACAGTATTCACATACATTAACTGAAGAATAATCATAAGCGGTCGATTGTTAACTTTCAGGAAAAGTTTGTTATGAAAAAACTTAATATTCACACAGGGAGGTGAAATGAACTTTATTAATCAAATAATCAATTTATTTTCTAATCAATTCTTTTTGATAATTTGTATTTGCTTGCTAAGTAGTCCTCTTGGGAAAAATCCTAGGAGTTAAGGTATGTCATGCGGAAACCAAGAGACTGCAGAGAAGCCTCAATGAATGTAGGCCATATGATTACATAAATGCACAAGGAGGTAGGATGACAATTTATAATGTTAAAATTCTTCTATGCTGTATAACATCTATGTCATTTTGTGTGGGTGTGATTGAAGGTACATGTATTGATGTGGATGTGAATGCATCTGTGTGCCCAAAGGCCGATCTAGAAATTCAAAATAGAAGGGGCCCAGGAAGGGAATTTTACTATAGCTGAAAGGCTCCAATTACTTCAGTTCCACAAGTTGGAGCTCAATCAATCAATCAATCAATCAAAGCAACATTTATTTTCTTTGAATTGAGAAAAAAGAAACAGTACAATGTAAAGTAAGGTAAATTAGCTGAAGTAGAACCTTTGATTTTATGTCAATGGTACCTCTAGATGGCCAGAAATTTGTTATTTTAAAAAATTTATTGAGCCCCGCTGCCTCCTTGATTACGCTTTTGGAGAATGCTTGCTTCTTCACTACATGCTTTGCAACTAAGTGAAGTAAAACCCTATATAGAGCTATGCTAATTGTATCCAAGTATGAATGGGAGATGTGGGTGAGGGTGTGTGATGATATGTATTTGTGTCTTATTTATCACAAATTTGAAAACGATTATACTCCTGTACTATCTGCTTTATTACCGTGGAAAGCAAATAAATTTTTAGCTCGGCCAAATTGCATGAGTGTAGATAGGTGGGTGAAGTCTTGAAATTGGGGTGCTGATGAGGGGCGTGAAGGTGAAGTGGGAGGGGCTTGATGATCAGTTGAAGGGCGCTAACTTGCAAAATAATTTTAGGTTATTTTTAACTACTTGACCATGATTTTTTGGGGGGCGCCTAGGGGGCACAACTAGGGAAAACGACTAGGGGGCACGACTAGGGGGTGCAACTGGGGCACGTGTAATTTTTGGAGTTGATGCACCCTCGTGCACCCCCTAGATAAACCACTGGGTGGGTGAGGTTTGGTATGTGGTATATTTTTTTTTTTAAAACAAAATTGCTCCAACCGGGATCCAAACCTGGGACTTTCTGCTGCCTATGCAGGTGCCTTAACCAACTGGTGGGCACATGTATAAATATATAGACATTTCATGCATGGCAGTAAGTAAAATTTATATTTAACTTTTTTTAAACATGATTTGGATGTACGATTTTACAGGAAACAAAACATCCATCAATTAAATTGAGTGCACTTTTACATTATAATAGGCAATGCTCTAATCCCGGGCTTATGAATACAAGTGTTAAAATTTAATGCATTTTTAATGTCTGAATTCTAAGATCGGTTTGAATTTCATGACATTCACACAGAGTCACTGATGAATTCTCCTGTGATTTTTTTTCAGTTTTGTTCTCAACTCTACAAGGTTGTTGATAATAGATAATGGTACAGAATATTATTAGGTTCATTGATTACAAATACAATCCTCAAATAAGTCTATAACATTTTAGAATATAAGTATTAAGATTTACAAACATTGACTACCAATTAACTTATTGATTACAATAAGGTTATTGATTACTAATGGTATTACCAATAAAAGTATTTGTTGACAAATAGCTTTATTCAATAAAACAAAAGATATTAATTACCTGTGAGGATTATAATGTAAAGATAAATTATCAATATATGTATTGGTTATCAATAAGAATATTTATTACCAATTAGTTTATTTATTACTATTAATGGTAATAAAAGCTATCAACATATAATTGATTAGAAATAAGATTATTCAATATAAATGAAGATATTGATTACCATTAAGGATTATAATGATAAATTAAGATTCAGATAATTTCAGACATAGTCAGGATATTGTTTTGGAATTTAATATCTTGACCATATTTCCTTATTAGGTCAGCTTAGCTCAGTTGGCTAAACTGGAGGTAGCCACTGTGTATGTTGAATTGTGATGAACTTGATCCCTGTGGTCCTGGTTTAAATCCCATCTACTGCTCTCTTTGTGTTTCTGTTGGGAGGGCTGAAATGCAAGTTTCAATACAACACAACTTTCGGACGAGGTTTAACATATTGGCCTTGTGTGCAATATTGCTCATGTGTATGTTTAAAAATGCAGTAGTCTCGGGATTGTCACCACCAGAAAAAACACACTGTAAGTACTTTTCAGAATTCAGACTTTTGTGGTTATCCACGGGGTATACCACATGGAAGAAATCCAATCCAATATTAAAGGAAGCCAATTTTCTGGTATTTGGGCTACAAATGCATTCTATATGCGATTTTCAACAACTATTCTATACAAAGGGTTGATGTGAAAATATCGTGTAATTTATTCGCAAATAAACTTTTTGGTCATAGTAAGATTTTCAACTATACGATGAATTGTAAAAAGGGACTTGTAACCTAAACGATGATTGATAATGCATACTTGAAGGTCCCAAACTCTGGTGCTGCTGATGTTAACTGTAAGCAGGTACATTTTGTATGTTGCATGTGTCGTTTCTTTCAAAATTAGCATATGGCTATGGGCACCTTCGATATGTTTAATAAATGTATAAATTAATGAATGGCACAATTTTCGCTTTCCTTATTTGTCTCCTTGAGAATTAAAATGAATGCCTTAGGCACATGAGTGACAAGGTAATGAATGAGTACCTAAAGGGGGGAGACAGATATTTCCCTTCTCATTCATTTCCTTTGTAATTCACTCATGTGCCTGTCAGACAACTCGCTATACAAATTACATAAGAATTTTCATCTTCATCAATTATTTTTATCTGTTTCAGGTGTTATATAAACTTCTACATCTATTTAATTTGTAACAGTAAAGTATGACTCATTGATTATTATTACTAATTACAATTATTTAAAAAAGTGTAAATCCTCAAAAAATCTTCATATACTGTGCTGGTAATATAAAATTGCTCTTCCACACTATCTACTTATAGTAGTACTTTCTACTTATATTTGCAAGCTGAAGTCGTACGGTGAGCGCTCTTTTAAGGTTGCACGATCATTCACTCTGGAACTTCCTTCCCATTAATATACGGAAATCTCCATCCATTTCCCTATTGAAGGCTAGATTCAAAACTCATCTTTACTCATCCATCTATATATTTTCCTTTTTTATTGATGGTTTTTGTTGTTCCCTTTTCTTGTCTCTTCTTCATCATATTTGTTTCTTTTATTCACCTTCCTTGGACATTTGCTGAAAGCGCATAGAGACCTCGTGTGCTATTAAAGTCAACATCCATTACCAGTACCATCACAGTTTTACAAAGTAGCATATATACAAATATACAAATAATCAAATAATGACAGAAGTTCAGTGCTCAAATAAAGGTACAATATATATATATACATATACTGTATGTTATTAAATCAGCATGTGTATCATTATTGCAATAATACAAAAATATGGCAAGTAGACAAAGAAATTAAAAAGGACTCATTTTTTGCATTTACAAAAATGGAAATTTTAAAAAAGTACACAATATACAACTAAAATCAAAGAACTAAATAATGATCCTTAAAGTTACATTTAAAAATAGCTAAATTAGGACCTTGTCACTTAAATGAATGTTTATATAGTAAATTCCATATTTTGCTACTATGTCTTACTTTTTCTCCAATAAAATTAAAATATGAGGTATTCAGGTACACACCACTGAAAGGCTTAGATGATCGTCCAACCAAGTGAAATGAACATTTCTTTAGCAGATGTGAGTAAATGGGCATTAGAAAATTAATCTTATCCCACATCCTTATCCTTATCCATTGAGTTCACTCAATTCAATTTAATTAAGTCATTATCAAAATTATTTGATCATTCAGTGTGCAAAGAAATATTCAAGCCAACGGCAGCAGTGGCGGCGCCAGCGGGGGACAGGGGGCTTAAGCCCCCCACCGGACAGAGCTGGTCGGGCAGTCAGACCATAAAACATATAAAAATAGGCCCACACCAAGCCAACACATGTCTGTCACAGTCTGAGAGTGCCATTTCCGGCCATCCAGAGGTTGCTATTCTTAAAAAAATCTCATTTGGGAGGGAAACCCCCCTCTCAAACCCTTCCCTCAGCTCGAGCCTACGAGATCAAGTCCCCCCTGTCGGACAACTTAGCCCCCTCAGAAAATATATAATAGAGCCGCCACTGAACGGCAGACGAATCAATCTCTGCCCTATATGAGCACTTGACAATGTGACGCCGTCTGCTGATTTGTCTAGAAGAAGACTTATTTCCAGTGGGGTCCTTCTGGTGGTGATTGGACAGTACACTGGGAGACAATCCCCTACTCTTTTCTGAAGAGTGTACTGTGTTCTTTAACGTGCACATGGGCCATAAATGCACACGGGACCAATGGCTTAAACGTCTCATCCGAAAGACGGTGCGCTATTGTAACTTGTATTTCAGCCCTCTAGATGAAACACAAGGAGAGGCAGCGATGCGAATTGAACCGGGGATCTAGAGATCTCCACGGTTCAGCGCACACACAGTGGCTACCACCAGATTAGCCGACTGAGCTAAGCTGCTCTCAAGCTAGCAAAGTATGATAGACCAGCGCCATAGGAATCGTCATTTCAAGCTAAACTTTTGGGCTGGAATATACTCAAGCATGGGCTTATTATGCTCTGTAAAATACTATAGTCATTTTTATTCAATTTTTAAAAATTTAATTTCTTCATGGAAAAAAAATCACAAATAACCAAAGACCGAATTATTATCATTATTAATTTGATGTTGAATGTTAAAATATAAATTTTATAAATGTGAAAAATTCCTAAGAACTGGTTCTCACAAAGGAAACAATTTTTTATGTACTTTTGTAATTATTAGGATAATACAAATATTAGAATAATTTACAACCAAAATCAGTAAAATATTGTGAATAATACTATTGTTAAAAGGTATCAATAAAAATAGTAGTATAAAAGCTGCATCTGACATATATAACGTAAGGAGGAAATTACAGGCAGTTTCCCTCCATTATCATTATTTATTTCACTTCAACAAAATGGCATTGAGTTGCCAAGACTAATCCATATAAATCCTTTTGAATTTCTAATGTCATAACAAAAATCAATTAAAAAAGTATAGGTGGCAGCATAATACCGAATCACGTCTTGATTCACATCCTTTAGAAATGCGCTTCTAATCGCAAGTAATCCCAAAAAAATATTTATCCCTCTAAAAGCATGAAAAAACATGCACAATTGGCTAAGCAGGTGGTAGCCACTGCCTGCGCATGGAACCATGGACATCTCTTGGTCCCTGGTTCAATTCCCATTACTGCTCTTGTGTTTCAGCTGACACATTTAAGTTGTTTATTCCACGTTAAAATATGTTAATTCAATATTTTTAATTTAGGTCATTAAATGTTTTCTCGATTATTTCCAGACAGTATATCTACATTAAATATAATTGATTTTCAATCATTGTATTTCAAACTTGAAATAGTCATTTATTTGTGTTTTTTTTTTTACATAGATATAAAATATTCAGATTTGGATAAATCTAAATCCATTGTTTTAATTTCTAGACACTATTTCCCTTATTATTTAAACAAAGATACCAATAAAGCCTACTGTATACTCATCCTCCCTGTATCCATGCAGGAAACCTATTAATTACAAGTCAAAAAATCCACCAAGGACTGTTGAACTGAATAAAATATTAAACTTCACTGAAGACTATTATGATAAATAAAGATTACAAATTCACCAAGGACTGTTTCCAACACTCATTCACACGTGCACATCACTTTGAGAGGCATTTATATTTCATTCATTAATATTTCAAAGAAAAAAAATTTCATTCAATCATGCCTATTATTTCACCACATAAGTTTTTATTTAAATAAAGAATATCTACTACATGACTAATATATTATTATTAATATATGTATATAGAAAACAATGAAATAATAATTAAAAGGCAATAATTGCCAAATGTCTTAGTATTGAGACTAATGAGGTAAAGTAATGTAATGTAAAGTTCAAAGGGCACATGCTGATATTTTCTATTCAACGTTGAAATGCATTCTCATTGTAAAGGCTGTGTGAATATTAGACTGTCAGTATTTTAAATGTTAGTCATTTATCTTATAATGCATTGCTTGGAGATAATAAAATAATACATTATTTTCTGTACCCCCTATTATATACAATGGAATACTCCATCAAGCTATGACACATCACCTCAAAGACATGAATCATCTATCAATCAAGATAAAGATTATGCTGAAACACTCTTCAAGCTCAATAAACTTACCCTATCAAAGTGAAATGGAGCATTCTGAAATATTCAACCAATCACAATGACTAATATGTTGTGTGTTTCTCCACCTACAAGATTGGAAATGGGCAGAGCTTAAACAGGTACCAGCATTTCTTCCACTGTAGCACTTTATAGAAATTATTGTAAGTAATTACTTTCAACAGTCTTGCCGCTTCTAGTTCTCTGATATTCACAATCTATAATTTACAATCTATAGGGAATAAACTGTAATCATCTTTGTACAACATTGTCAAACACTTAAATCTTGTCCAACAGACAATTAAGGAACATAAAAACTACAATCAATTCTTTAAATTAAAAAATTATATACCATGTACTTTTACCTGGAACAATATTTTTATGATTCCTCATTTTGTCTTATACCACAGGTCAAGTTTAGGTTTAGATACAGTGAAGTACAATTCAGTTGTTTTATAGTATTCTCATTTTTACTCATCATTATAAAATAATAATTAATATTCGTCACATAGCCTTTTGTAATTACACATCTACTCAGAAAAACAGTTTCTATAGATAAATAACAAATAAATATTATTACATTCCAAAGATTAATAATTTACATAAATTTTCTGTATTAGTGTTTGTCAGTGACAAAGATTCATGTTTGCCAGAACAGTTGTCCTCAGTTTCCGATCCACAGGTAGGTTGTTATTTATTGTCCGTGGCCATAGGCTGGGAATGGGGATAAAATACACAAAATGACCATTACATTTTCATTGGAAAAGAAATTTTGTTCTGCCTTCTCAATTTTCACAGCACCCACCCCACCAGACTGAAACCAACCTAGCCCCCTTCTGCCGTCATCGCTGACATCATCATAAACATCATCATGAAAAGAAATTCTGAGCATTGAAGATAAGCTCAATATGCATGAATATCCTGAATTACTTATGTCCTCCTTAAAGACATCTTTATTTCTGTTCATGCTTCATTTGAGTCAAGTGGCCGAGCGGTAAGGCAGGGCATCGCTAACTACAGAGTTAACATTGGCACCAAGTCTTCTCGGATATGGGCTTAAAGTGGAGATCCAGTGTACATATCTGGCTCGTATGCACTATTGCATAGAACCTATTGCATCTTTTGGAAGATTAGGGGGTTACTCCAATGCTGTGGTCTATTTCAGCCCTTGTCGTTATCGAATGATGTAAAGATATAAGCGCCGCTTTACTGCGACTAGGTAGTCACAGACCGCGCCCATACATAATTCAGCACAATGACGCTGCGAGTTATGGGTTATTTTGCTACATTTACCTTCATCTTCAATTTTTAAATCTTG